ACACACACACACACACACACACACACACACACGGCACTTCACTCTCCAAGACTGGTTCTCATCAAATTGAAGAGCTGGTCATTCTCGTGTGCTTTCTGGCTCTTTGATAAGTCCCACCGCTGCAAGGCTCCTATCCTGTGTTTCACATTCAAATGTGAACCAGTAGAGTTCTTCATTGTTAAACTCCTTTCCGGCTGGCTTCCCCTACCTCTCCTTTTGTGGCTAAGCTAAGAACACTCAGTACGGCATGAACCATGCAAGAACACTGGCGACTGATGACCACAAACAGTCCCAGGTTGAATTTGATGGGAATTAATTTTATTGCAGATGAAGCCCACGGTTATGGATCAAGGTGGTTGTCCCTCCTTTTAAGAGTAGCCACCCACCACCTGCCATCACGTCAATTCTGGATCGATATCAGGTTTCTGACGCTGTGGATCTTCATGGAAGCAGGCAGCCTCATGGTTCTCTCACAGAACAGGAGCAGCGATTGGAACCACAAACCTTCCAGCTAGCAGCCCAACGCCTAGTCCTCAGTGCCACGCACACAATGGAAACCAGTCACTACTTAGACTTTTATCTCATTTTGAAGAAGGACATGACCAGAGCAACTCCAAATATGTATTAGGAGGAAAGTGTTATTTCCCAATGTTATTTAGCTGCATCTACTGCAGCTGGGTAAGCAATGGACTGCTAATGCAAGGGTGATAGTTCAAGCCCACTCCTTGGGGGAAAGAGGAGGCTGTCTACCCTCAGTTGTACAGCCTTGGCAACCCGACGCCTGGTCACTAGGAGTTGGACTCAACTCCATCGCAGTAGGTTCGGTTTGGGGGTTAGTTTACAAATAACTCGGTTCTCTTTGCTGTCGTGGAAATAAATATTAAATGGAAAAGCTACGCAACTCACTTCCCTCAAGGTGATTCCGACTCATGGCGACCCTATAGGATCGGGTAGAACTGCCCCCATGGGTTTCTGAGCCCTTAACTGTTTATGGGAGTAGAAAGCCTCATCTTTCTCCCAAGGAGCAGCTGGTGGTTTCAAACTGCTGACCTTGTTGTTAGCAGCCCAATGTGTAACCTCCTCTGCCACCAGAGCTCCTTAAGTTAAGGAGACCAGATTTTAACATTGGTAAAGCGGGACAAAAGCGGGACACCATTGATAAAACTCATATTCTGGCGAAATAGCCACATGGCAGCTGAAAACTGTATACCCTAGCTTGTCGTGCATTCTTTCCAAAAATTGGGAGTTTTTAAAAATGCCGCGGGATGCAGGAAAAATTGTTAAAAATCGGGATTTCCCGCCAAAAGCGGGACGTCTGGTCACCTTACCTTAAGTGGAAAAGACTCTAGCTACCACTACAAGTTGGGGTGGTCCTGGGATAGTCTTTGCAATTATAAAGGCAGAGGGTAGGCATCCTATGAGGCAGAGGATCCTGTCCCTGCATCTACCAGGACCCGTAAGACCCAAGGGAACTTTCCTAAAGGAGGGGAAAGTGCCACGGGCAGAGATTTCTACTCCTGGAAAGAGTTGATAGTCTCGGTAACCCACAGGGCCAGTTCCACCCTGTCCTGCAGTCATAATCTACTCACGGTCCTGAGTCTGGTGTTTTACATATGTACCATATATTTTAAGGCTTTGTGCTGGAAACTGAGAATACATAGAAATATACTGTTTCTGACCTGACAGGTTACCAATAATGCTCAACCCAATACCCTACAAACCACTAAGTATATTAATGCAGGCACTGAACTTTTGTTCAGGGTCCAAAAATCCATTAGTCATTCAGAGCGCCACGATGGAATCCAGGCTGCACCCTTGGTTAGTGTTGCGGGTGGCATTTATGGTAGAAGTGCTTGGATAAGAAGGAGGCAAATAAATAGCAAAAACAGGTATATTTTCATGTTAAGAAACAAGAACATATTTTGGTTCTTCTTAGTGACTGCTTTGCCCCTCTAACCACTATTTCTCTTCTAGTGGGGGATCTTTTCCAGCTCCTTTGTAGGATCCTACTTTTATTCCTATTATCACCTACGAGTGAGGGAATTTTAAAAGCTTGTGAGTTTTCAAAGACGAATCTAACATCAAATTGACACAGCTTACGCGTAGTTCTCTCTCTCTCTTTTCGTTTTCTTTGAAATCGTGGTCCTACTTCTCCTCATATGTCAGATCCACGCTTTGGTGTTTAGGGGCAGTACTTTCTCTAGCTGCACGAAGTGGAACGCCCTTCTCTAAAACGAGCTGAAAAGAATACCGTACTATTGTTTTCTAGATTGGTTTGGCTTCAGATCTTAACTTTCAGTCTGCACTGAGGATCTACTTATCCTCATTTTAGGAAAAAAGGAAGTAATTAAAATAAAAATGCACTATGCCACTGGAGTGCCTATTATTGTTGTTAAGTATTTGTTTTTGCTCAACTTCACAGTTCTTGTACCAGTCCCACCAATCAGCCCAGCCCATTGAACCAGACCAAAAACTCCCCTTGTCTGAGTATTTATGAGGCGAGAGCTCCCAAAGAGAGGAGGCCTATTTGAAACCCTGGTGGTGTGTTGTGGGCATTGGGCTGCTAACCAGAAGTTCAGAGGTTCAAACTTACCATACACTCTGAAGGAGAAAGAAGAGGCTGTCTGCTCCCTTAAGGATGCACAGGCTCAGAACACCTATGTCGGGTCACTGTGAGTAGGATTGACTTGATGGCAGTGAGCTAGCCAAAACTGAAGTCTATTTTGTGGGAAAAATTAACCCTGGGCTTACTCATGGGCTTTAGTATTATTATTTCCTATTTCAAACATCACTTAAAACAGCCCAATGGATCCTATTGAGAGACAAGTCTAAAGGTGCTGCTATCTGGTTATTTCTAGCAGTCGTTTGTATACCCAAGTCACAGAAGACCGAGATTCAGTGCTGATTCTGAAAAGGCATTATAGCTAATGCCCACTTTCATTAGTGCATTCAGTGACGTCGAGTCTATGCATAGCCATCCTACAGGACAGGGTAGAACTGCCCCTCTGAGTTTCTGAGACTAACTGTTTATGGGAGTAGAAAGCCCCATCCTTCTCCTGAGGAGCAGCTGGTGGTTTTGAACTGCTGACCTGGCAGCTTGTAGTCGAATGCATAACCACTGTGCCACCAAGGCTCCTGTCATAAACCTACAACCTGTAAAACTACTGTGTACTATGTACTGACAGGTTATTGCCTAGATTTTAGTCCCGACATCTACACAGTAAGATAAAGGTCTTTGCTCCTATTTTACTGATGAGAAAACTGAGGCTGTAAGAAGTTAGGCCAATGTCCTAAAATCTCAAAACTAGCCTAAGATTTAAAGCTACATTTGTGTATTTTTAACCATCTACAGAATCCTGGTAATTTAGGAAAGATAGATAAGCTAAAGGTGAAATGTTTACCGTTTCTAAAATGGAATCCTGAACTTCTCGGGACTTGACCTGGTTCCGTAGATAGAGTACAGCATCGTGGGCTGTCAAGAAGAAAATGTCCTTTCTAATGTTGTCATCAAAGAACCCACACTGCTCCAGCTTTTGTATCACGTGGTCTTCAGAAGAAAAGAGAGAAGTGATGCTTAGTTAGGGTCCAGGGAAAAACACTATTATCACATCAGCCAATGTTATGTTTTGTTTTATTTTGCTCTCCAACACTTTATTGTGATTCAGACGAAAGTTTACAGGTCATATTAATTTCCCATTTGGCAATCTATACATATTTTCTCTGGGGACCTTAGTTACAATCCCCTCAATGTAACAATTCTTCCCTCTTCCTTCCTGTATTCCCACTTCTGGTCACCCATCTGTCCTGTCCTTTCTGCCATTTGATTTTTGTTTGGGGGCAATTGCTTGCCCTTTTGGTCTCATAGTTGAGTGAGGAGCGCGTGCCTCATGGTATCACTGTTCCCTTTATAGGCTTAGCTATTGTTTGGCTGAAAGGAGAACTCTAGGAGGGCGTTCTGTTCCAGGCTTGAAGGGTGTCGAAGAGCCGCCCATAGTCGGGGCTCCACCAACCTATCAGACCAGCAAGCCTAGTAGTGTTGATGTGTGCATTTTGTTCTCCATGTGTCTCCTACTCTGTACAGACCTTGCATCGTGACTTCATTCAGAGCAGTCAGTCGTGATGGCAGCTGGTGCTATCTAGCGCTTCTGACCTCAGGCTAGTAGAGGCTGTGATTCATGTGGCGCTTCGTGGTTTAGGCCAGCGGTTCTCCACCTGTGGGTCGCGACTCCTTTGGGGGTCAAACGACCCTTTCACAGGGGTCGCCCAATTCATAACAGTAGCAAAGTTACAGTAATGAAGTAGCAACGAAAATCATTTTATGGTTGGGGGTCACCACAACATGAAGAACTGTATGAACAGGTGGTGGCATGAGGAAGGTTGAGAACCACTGGTTTAGACTAAATGTGGGAGCCTTGATTTTCCTCACTCTTCATTATTCCAGACAGGGAGAAACCAATCGCCGTGTCTTAGGAGGTGACTCACAGCCTTTAAGACCGCTCAGAAAAACAGGATGTCCTCTTTATGTGGAGAGTGTTATGTGATTGACCTCATGCTCCCCTGAGACTATGGTCTGAATCCCTCAGGCCCAATGGCTTTGCCCTCTTTAGGTGTTTGGTTAAGGTCTAAGGTCTAAGGTCTAAGATCGAGGAGTTAGCACAACTTTCCCTCTAATATGCATTGATGTGTTTGTAGCACCTACAAACATGTATGTAGAACTAGCCCCTGCCAAGCTTCTAGATGCTTCTGGGCATACTCCCATATGCCATCCCACATCTGTTCATTTTGCATATCGAGTACTGTTATTGCAAGGCTGTGAATGTCATAATATTGATGGCTGTTGCCTTTACTTTTGCATGCCCCCCAGTGTCTTCCTCTGCCTGGGTCCCCTTTGTGGGGCTGACCTCTCCCTGATCTGGTATCACTCGTCCCATCCCTCACACTCATACATGGCAGCTGTCAGCCAGTTTATGATTTTCCTCCGTCTCTATCGCATTCCGGCAATCATAAAAAAAAAAAAAGTTCTGTTCTGCACATAAACTTTTTCTTGACTTTGTATAGTCATTGTCTCATACAATGTGTCCTTTGGTGATTGGCCTATTTTCCTTAGCATACTGTCCCCCGGCTTCATCCATGTGGTGAATGGTTCATGGATCCGTCATTTATTCGTCAATGTAGGATTATATTCCAATGCGCATGTACTGGAGTTCGTTTAATCTGCTCATCCGCTGGCACTTAGGTTGTTCAGGTCTACATTTTCATAACTCTTGCTTTTATTCCTAAACTGTGACCCTGCTCTGAACGGACAGAATTTCTTCGCCTGAAATGCATTCAATGGTCAGTGAATGGTCTTGGTACCTGACTGTGTTGCTTTGGGTCACGCTGGTATACCACCTGCCTCACTGAGCCTCACTGCTAATGGCTCACAACTGTGCCCTTTTCTGAAGCATTTTCCTCAGCCAAGGGGAGCTGCCTCACCTGAAAAGGCTGATGGTTACATGTGGGGGGAAGTCAGATACTTGCTGCCAGACTGCTGTCTCATCCCTCCACAGGGGTGGGCCTGCTCCCTGCCTCTGGGGACAATGGACAGGCTCCTGTAGGAGGGGTTTGCACCCTACTGATAATGTTCCTATGGAGACCCAGAGACCACCCTCTCATTGCTGTGTAACCTATAGTGCAGCCCCTTCCTGTGATGTATGTCTTTACCTGTAATTAGTGGGCTGGATTGCCCCCAAAAGGTATATAGGTGTGAGTGAGCAGGACTTCTCTCTCTGACCCTGAGCTCCTTGCTGCTCACTCCCTGGTCACTCCCCTCTCCCTTGTTCCCTTTCCCTCCTTCCCTTCCCCCTCTCTCCACGTGGACCACCAAGCTGGGCTGAGGTGAGCAATGTTGCTATGTATCATGCCTGACTGTATTATTGTATTATCTCTCATGCTCTTGATGACTTTAATATAATGCTTATATATTTCAACCGTACAATTGTGCATTACTGAACCCGTTGAGTAATAGTAGTATTAGCGGTGGGGGCTGCCACCCCACCTCCCTCAGCGTCATTATATTTTTTAATTTAATACTACAGTTACACTCCCACAGAGGGGTGGCCTGCAGTCAGTGACTGTCAGAAGGGTACGAAGGCCAAGATGAAATAACCTTGTGGCGTTGTTCCTGCTGCGGGCCTCCCTGTGAAACCAGACTGCGGCTCGACTTCTGAAACCACGTGTTTGCCCAGCTGCTTTCCCTGCGCTCTCTGCTCCTCTCCTCCCTTTGTCTGACTCCAGAGAGCACTCTCTCGGAAACCACTTGGACAAGAACCCCCACCTCAACCTCTGCTTCTGCACACGGGCGCTTTCCTACACACGGATATTCAGCTAGCCTCCCCACCTTGAAGAGCCTCTTGCTCTCCACACAGTAAGATTTTCCCAGTGACCCTAAATAACTGAAACAACATGCGTTTCTAGGCATGAGCAGCTCAACTTGGAAGCAAAGTCTTTCCTAGGTTAGCGGAGGCCCTCAGATACCACGTGCTCACCATCCATGGGAGGGAGGGACAGGGGCTTAGGGAAAGTCCCTAAGTGTGTGTGTGTGTGTATGGCTTTACCTGGAAGCGATGAGAAGTACACGTTCACATCGATTCTCTGGAATTCTTTGACAATCTTGAAAGAGAAGGAATGAGAAAAAATGAGCGATTTGATTTGCCAATAATTGGAGCACAACTCTGCTCAGACCCACCTGGCGTTGTCCTGAGCTGGAACCGACTCACAGCGATTGCTTAGCTTTGTTTGTTGGTTTCTTTGTTTTTTTCATTAAACTTTGGCTTAAATTTGACCCTGCCAGTGACACCCTCTGGTTATGAATAAGGTGGCTTACTGAATGTCTGTCTTTCCCTCGAGACTGCTTAGTGTCCCGGGGGCAGGGGGATGGCTTCTTCACTGCTCAAGGTTCCCTCCTAGGAGAGTACTTAGTACATAGTAGGCATTTGAGGAAAGAGTTCAGAAACTGGAACGTGCACAAATGGATTTCTGATATCATGTTTCAGTCCTACATGCACCTCAACTCTTGCTCTGGCTTCTTAGACTTCTGACCTGTTTTCTGCTCTAAAGCTTAAGGCCGCCTGTCTTTGCC